AAGAAAGGCCACAGATTCCCAATATATACTTCACCCATATTTAAGCAATAAGGGGCAGAGTTTAACACACCCTCCCCCCTGCTTTTTTTTATTTTTATTTTTTTATTTTTAGGCAGGGCCTCACTCTGTCCCCAGGCTGGAGTACAGTGGCAGGATCATAGCTCACTGCAACCTTGAACTCCTGGGCTTCAAGCAATCCTCCTGCCTCAGCCTCCTAGGACTATAGACGTGTGCCACCATGCCTGGCTCATCTTTTTTTTAAATATTTTGTAGAGATGGGGTAGTGCGGGTCTCACTGTGTTGCCCAGGCTGGTCTCAAACTTTTGGCCACAAATAATCCTCCAGCCTCAGCCTACCCAAAGTGCTGGCATTACAGGTGTGAGTCACCACAGGCAGCTCTGAGAGCTTAACCCTTTTAAAAATGTTAATTTCACAGAGGCAGCAGAAGAGACCTAGTTTACACCAGATCCAAAATGAAATTAAAAATGGCTTCTGGGAATTAGCAATGTCAGAAACTCTGAATGACGAAGTTTGAATGGGTAAGGAAGGAATTGGCAAATGCCCTAACAGTCCACAGGAGGGCAGCAGTGCTAAAACGTACAAAGAATTTCACTTCCTATCGTAACCTTTTCTGGATGAGCCTAGAAATTTTAATGAAAGCAATGTAGCTCAGGGGGAAAAAAAATCCCTATGTATGGTCACACAGTCACTCAATTTTGCATAATTTTATGGAAGTTAGTAAACTCTGTTAAATTCTGCTCCTGAGTACAAGTATTGAAATTTTTTAAATATGCAAAAAAGCTCATTCTTGGTTAAAATGTTAGCTGAAAGGAATTGCTAAGCTTTAGAAGACCATAGAGTTGCCTAGTTCTCTTAAACCCTAAGATCTACTTTAACAATGCAAATTCACGTTCCTTCCAATCCCAGGTCTCTTCAGCATTCCTGCAGACCTGTAGCGTTAGTTACCTTACTCTCCCTACATATTTTATCCCAGATTTAGAAGTACACTATAGCTTCAAGTGAAGGTAATAACATAAAATTTTCTAAAATGCTTTATTCATGGTCAATATAATTTTCATCCAGTGTTGATATTAAACAGAAAGATTGCTTCTGTATTTTTCAACCACAGATAGCTTGTTCGGTTAGCCAGGCAACAAGACCTTAATTCAAGTTGAAATGTTATGATTTTTTTTTAATAGGTTGAATTAATAAAGCCACAATTTTCTTTTGTAAATATAAGCCTTAACGTTTTATATTTACAAGTTTATATGAAGAAATTGACTGTGGGGCTTGGGGACCACTAATGCAGAGGTTCTCACTCTTAGCCTCACGTTAGAATCATTTGGGACACTTTAAAAAATCCCTATGCCCAAGCTACATCCCAGATCAATTACACTAGAAATCGCTAGGGGTGGGACCCAGTGATTCCAGTGTGCAGCCATGATTGAGAAACTCTGATGCCTGATCTGACTTAGCAATCTGATTTAATTCAAATCTGCAAAAACAGCAAGAATGATTTTTGCATAAAGAAAACCAAACCTGTTACACAAATGAATTTTATACCTCAATTGTTGCGACTTTGGTTTTTATTTAGCCCTGTTTATGCATTGTAGGGATGTGGAAGATAGGTCTCCTAGACACATGTATATAGTTATTTAAATATGGCTATTCTAAGGTTAGGTAGTAAAAACTGTAAGAGCTGGGTGGAAATCAGGAGAAGTTTCAAGGAATGGGTAATACTCGAGCTGGGCCTTGAAAGATGCGTAGGATCTGGACAGAACAATCGATGTTTCAAGCAACAGTGAGCTAGGAATACAGCAGAGAGCACAGGGCAAATGGTCAGGCTTGGCTGAAAGGAGGTTATTTGAAGAAGTGTAGCAGAAAGGAAAGTCCTGGGGAAAAAATTTGGGATTTAATTGTAGAAGGTCTTCAAGTATCAGGCTAAGAAATTTGGCCTTCAGCCTGTACGTGATGTGGGGTCACTGAACACCGAGCAGTATCTGTGCGATGAGCTGGCACGGAGACGCCTGGAGATACTTAAGGGTCTGAGCAGTGAGGGGCAGGAGAGACGACTGTGGGATGGAGTGGTTAGAAGATAGGCCCCAATTAGAAACACTCTGGTTTGAGACAGAACACACCAGAAATAAACACATCATCACAAATGAAGCTTCTCCAAATGTACAATTTTATTTTAACAGATTTGAAGAGCCAGTTTTCAAAAAATGAGCAATAAAGAACCTCTATACACGAGACTTCTCATTTTACTGCAAATACATTTTTGCAGTTTAAAATTTTTTCTTAAATTCAAATATGCTTCTTTCTCTGTCATTTAAACAAAGTTCTAAAGAAAACTGGTCTCTCCATATATTTAAGTAATTGACAAACTGGACAAAATATATATATATATATACATATATAAATCTCAAGTATAAAAATTGAAAAAATTAAATTTGAGGCAGAAACTGCTATAAAAGTATATTTAAGTGTAAAAGTATTGAGTTGAAAATATTTCAGTTAAGTTTAAAAAAATAGCACAGCCCTTCCTGGCCTCTAAGCAATTGCTACACTCTTGACAACGATGTGAAAATGGGTATAAACTTCAGCTCCATGCTTTTCAGAATTCCTGTTTATTCCTCCTCAAACATTTATGTTCCTAAAGCATCTCATTTCACAAGAGATTACAAAGGCAATGAATACTTACAGCACCTATAAACATGTCTTTATACAGTAAAACAGTATTTATTCTGATCCACCCTTGATTCCCCAATCACAGTCTTCTCAAAGCAAGGTTTCTTTGGCCCAACTCGAGCTAGCTACTAAATACAAAAGTGCAAAACACAGCTTACAACAGTGTAATCTGAACTGGAGTGGTCGCCCCTTCTCTTTGTCCACTGGCTTCTCTGAAAGAGGGGGACTCAGCAGAGGGCCCTCCTATTCTGTTCTACCTGAGCATAACATGCTACCTGAGCTATGTTTACTTTTTTTGTCCCCTAGTATGACCAACAGCAAATAGACAACAGTGAAGTTTCCTTCTCTGAAATACATAAATTAATTTTTACTCTGCCTTTTGGGAGATGAGGTAAGATACATACATAGATAAGCTGCTTCTACTAGCAAAGACAATGTAAATGGACTAAGATTCTAACACAACTGGAGGTTATCTGATGAATTTATTCTTTACAAAACTACCTACTTTTTAGAGGGCATGTTTAAAGTAAAAGCTCTCTTGCTTTAAGTAGGGAAAGAAAACCACAAGGCCACGGTGTTCACTTTGCACCACAAACCAGCATTCTTGTTATGGGCGTCAGAGTCTTCTAACTGCACAGAAGTACGTAACTGATTCCAAAATCTTACTCGTTTCTTAGACTGGTTGACTGATGTTTTAAAAAAGGTGAAGATAAGTGCCACACATAAACATTCTAGTTTCTTTAAATCACCACAGATGTTACAAAAAAAATGCAGAATTTTATCCTGTTAATTTTTAGAGAATTTTACAATAATATTCTTGGTTAAGGAAGTCAAACTTGTCCATAGTCCCAATTTACAGTGTTCTTGTTCTTAATAGATAAGAGCCAAAGTGATATAGACGTATTTGTAAAGGGTTTTTACAGTGAACGATATATACAATAAATTTTAGAATTGTAGGAAAAATGAATCTTTAGAATTCACATTAATCTTTGAATAAAAAAGATTTTAAAATCACCTTTACAAAATGAAATGTAGTTTTATTTTTTTGTATCTCAAGATCACTACGTGATTTCATTTTGAAATGTATTTCTCTAAATTTACCAATTTTATAAAAATAAATCATTTCCACACCTTCATACTACCGTGGATGCTGTGTTGATTTGCTCTATAAATACAAATGTTATTTCAGGAAAAACAGGCAATATGTTCACACCCAAATTCATACACATTTCAAAGAAGCATCAAAGGATGGTGACTACATTTAAGCGACATAAAAATGTTAGAATTATGACTTAACAGTTGCACTCATGAGAACGTAACTAAAGAAGAACTATTGTACATCTGAAGATTTTAACAGTATCAGAGATAAATTGGTAAAGCAGGTTGTGGAAACTGTTCAGTTTGTGGGCTCTGCTGGAGTGGTTGACTTATGCTGGTAAGAGGTGTATTCAGCTCTAACCTCTCCTTTCCTACAAGGCAAGGTATAAAGATAGCATCAAAGATAAATACAGCTAAATACGGAAATTAAATTCCAGAAGCCTATTCAGAAAATGAACAATTAAAAAAAAAAAACCCAGTTTATACTATTGAATCCCCAAACTAGGAAATAAATGATTTTTAAAATGTTTTCAAATGTTCAACTACTCTCACTCTAAAAACCCTTCTGTATTATTTTTTCCATCCCCTCCAAAACAAGCAGTAGAGCAGTAGCATACAAAGCAGCAAATACTTCCTCCTTTTGATGCAAGGCCAATGTGAAAGATTGGAGAGAAACACGCTTTCCTATTATCACAATTTCAAGGCTGTGGCTCTGAGACAAAACCTTTAAAAAGGTAGTGGTTCGAACAGTGTTCAAGTACAGTAATGCCTGTTTACCCCTCGCTGTCAAGAACATCACGTATTCTGGTAAGAGATTCTCCTAAATAACTCGAGTTTGCATCACACTTGCATTGTAACAATACGTTATCTTTGTAAAATCTATTATTCTAGTCCACTGCTGTCCAAAGAAATATAAATATGTAATTTAAAATTTTCTAGAAGCCACATTAAAAAAGATAAATAGGAAAAATTAATCTATTATTTTTATCTAACCCAGGATAGCCTAAATATTATCATTTTGACATATATTTACATTTCTTATGCTAAGTCTTTGAAATCCAGTATGTATTTTATACTCAAAGCACATCTTACATTGGACTACCTACTTCCGAGGTCTGTAGCAGCCACCCATGGCTACTGACTATTGAATTGGACAACGTAGCTCTAGGCCCTGCCTTAGTAAGTTGACTTTAATAGACAAACTAAAACTAAATTTGAATTGGTCAGTTATTTACCAGGACATCTGCCACAGCAAACATTCCAGGGACGTCTACAGTGTAACAGCTAACCATGTTAACTGTGGATATTTGAATAATCCTCTTTGTGGGGGAGGCCATCATGGGGGTCCTCCATCATCACGGGACTGTACTTGTGATATTGCAGTTTCCTAGGGAATGTTGTGATAAAGGACTCAATACTTTGGCCTGTCACTGAATTCTTTTTTTTTTTTTTCTTTCTGTAGTAGTAGAATCTTTTTCTTGAAGTAGAATTTTAAATAGAAATCTAACATACAAGATAAAAAACATTAACATAAATTTAAAGAAACATTTATTTGATATAACAATGAAGATATTTTGAGAATAGTAAAAATTTGAAACTGAATTACTAATTACAGTTATTTTCTATTAACTTCAGCATTTATTAAATTATCTTCAAATCTTTACAGACACCCTGAAGCTTGGAGTCCGAAAACGATTTCCCCAGTTGGCTTTAGCCTCACAAGTATCCTCAGAGACTTAAGAAGATACAGTTAAGTCCTCCCTTATCCATGTGCTTTCTGTGGTTTCGGTTACCTATGGTCGACCACAGTCCAAAAATATTAGTGAATTGCATTGTCTTAAACTCTTTGACCCCCATCCACCTTCTGTCATTGAATTGAAATGACAGAAATTAACAATTCATAAGTTTTAAATTGCATGCCATTTGGAGTATCGTGATGAAATCTCATGTAGGACTTGAATCTTCCCTCTGTCCAGTGTATCCTTGCTGTCTACGCTACCTACCCATTAGTCACTTAGGAGCCGCCTTGGTTATCAGATTGACTGTCAAACTGTCACAGTGCTTGTGTGCAAGTCACCCTTATTTTACTCAATAATGGCCTCAAAGCACGAGAGTAGTGACGCTGGCATATTGTTATAACTACTCTATTTTATTAGTTGTTGCTGTTAATCTCTTACTGTGCCTAATTTATAAATTAAACTTTATCCTAGGTATGTATACATAGGAAAAAACACAGTATATATAGGGTTAGGTACTGTCCAGCTTCAGGCACTCACTGGGGGTCTCGGACTATATCCCCTGTGGATAAGGGGATACGACTGTATATAGGACTGGGTAGGCCTAGACTGCCAATTCTACTTGGTCTGTTTTATCTTTTTCTCTTTGCCCCTGTGATCAAAGACCCCATTTTGCTTTTACTAAGAAATTGTCCTTCCTTATTGGCCTTTGTAGAATGTATTCCAAAACTCTTTTTTTTTTAAATCTCATTGTCTTTGTCAGGCACCTACTCTAAAACTCTAGGGTAGGGTCTCACCTTATAAGAGGTGAGATACAGGTCTCCCTTTCTTCCCAGCTACACAGACACACATTCTAGCACAATGTAACCCTCAATTCACAGACAGAAGGTGGAAGGGGTCGAAGGGTTTAAGGCACTGTAATCCATAATTTTTCAAAATCTGAGGCTTTTTTGGTTTTTCTCTAATAGACTAAATATACTTAAGTCCAGGGAAACACGTAAAATGCCTTTACAGAGTTATTTACAAGTTGGAACTGAATACATTTAGAAAATTAAGTAAAACATATTTTGGTTTCTGTAAAAGGGTGTTTTTCCTCCCTGTACTTAAAATGAATTGATTCTGTGATTCTAAAGGCTACAAAGTAGAGGAAGCTAGATAGTTTGATAAAAGGATAAGGGAAACATAACTCTATTTACAGCCTATGTCAAACCAAAAGGCTGTCAGCACACACTACGTTAAATTTTTTAAAAGACTGGTATAAACAAACATCAATCATTTAGCAAATGGAACAGGAATCTAAGTTTCCTCTCGGATGTTTACTGCCAACATATCTAAGCTCAGGTTACTGATACCTAAATATCAATTGAATATTTTTTAAAAGAAAGGACATCTCTGAAAGGAACAGAAAGCAGATACCTTTTAGTGATAAAAGCAAACCTTTCTCTCATCTCTTCTCGCTCAGAGAGAAGTAAATTTTTACTTCTCTGTGGCTCTCATCAATTATGTACGTGCTGAACAGAGGAAGGGAAAATAGCTGAATAAAATAGTCACAACAAAAAGAAGCAAGTAAAAATAACAATAAGCAAGTGTAGCGTAAGAGGGATAAAAATCCATGATGGAATAGAATGGAAGAAAGCGAATTAGGTTCATAAATCAAGACTTTCTGATTCTCACCAAGGGACTGGAAACATGAATTTTGTGCGAGAAACTACTTGACCTTTGAAGTCTTCTAGATCATCCAGCAGATGAACAGATTTGAAATTTCTGTTCATTATGTTTATTGTTGAAACCATTTTTGCATGAAGCAAATAATGTAAAAATTCTTTCAAAGAATAGCAGATTGTGTGAGGACAAATGGTCCTGGTCTCTAGCACCTTCAATTTTGAGGAAATACACAGAGTATATATTAAATCCATGTAATATTGTCTTAGAAATCAATTTTATGACAAGTCATGTATTTTCAGATGCATCTGGACTTTTGCACGGAATACAGTTTCTTCCTGTGGCACATTTGTTTTCAACCAAGAGGGAAGATCCTTGCGAAGCTTACTATTACATGACTTCCCATATTTCTGGGATGGATCTCATCTCGTAAATATGGTCTCTAAACTAATTACAAAATCTTTAGTTACGTATTTTTTTTTTTGGTTCAAAAAATTTTGAAGGGTTTGTAAATCCTCAAGAATTTGTGAGCCACCTAGAAAAACGTTCAAGTTCATTTGATCCTTCTTGTCCTCTGTCATTACATTCCCGGGTTACCTGCACGGACCACTATTTCAACCACAATATTTTCTAACATTCATTTAAGCACAGACAGCTTAAAAATTACAAAGTAATTGGATCAGTCCATATTAATGCAACATTAAAAGTAGGTTGAAGTAATGCCAAATAATGGGAAAAAAGAAAGACTATTTTGTCACAGGTAATAAAAAATATAGATTGTGCAAATAATTCTCTTTAACTTAGCCAATTGTCACCTATCCACGGATAATTTAACTGAAATAAAAAACAAAATCATGCTTTTATGGGAAAAAATCACTACAAGTCATGAAAATAATTATGTAAACAAAAGGCATCTGTTGTTGAGAACCACACACGCAATATGAGGCTCAAGCAATGTCACAGGCAGGGAAAGGGCTGTGGCTTCCAAGACTGGAAAGTATGGTAAAAGAATTAGTTCAGAAAGGAAGCAGAAAGGAGCATGTAGATGGGACCTGTTCCAGACCAACTGGAAGCCTATACTATTTAAATGATGTGGGAGGATCTTGAAATGACTACTTACACTATTTTTGTATTTCTGAGATGAAGGCTGCCAGTAGGGTTAATTTGTGTTCCGAAATCACCATAAGTATTAGTTTACATCAAATCCATTCTGTACCAAGCTTTAACAGCAATTTGGGATTATCTGTGCCTGCTACCCTGCTTCGAGAGTTACCCCTAGGATGGAGAAATAACGTCATACATTTTATGGTCTTGTGTAACAAGTTTTTAAGGCAATAACAGCCAATTGGGGGGGGGTTACCCCACACCCTTTTTAAAAAAACATACACATAGATGAGGAGTCTTAAAAATTCCTATTATTTTAAACATCACAAAAATTTGCCAATAAGCTTGACGGTATTCCTTCAAATTTCAACAATATGGGCACATCAGGAATAGTCTACATGCTGGTCACTCTAAGGATAGTCCAGGGCCAGCAACATCACTTAGGAGATCATCGGAAATTCAGGACCTCAGATTCCACCCCAGATGTAATGAATCGGAATCCGTATTTTCACAGGTCTCCAGGAGATTAATTTGCACATTAAAGTTAGAGAAGCAATGCTGTATGCTCTAATGAAGAAAAATATACCTCTCTCACATTAGAGTAACTTCAGCTATTAAAATAATATAAAGCTTGAGAAATTAAATAGAGCTTCAATGTCTTGAAGCCAAACAATGCACAGAGAGAGCCTAACTTTTGATTTGGCCATTCATTACACATTATTCTGAATTTCTATTAATAATTGAGTATGTTCCTGTCATAGAAAGTACAACACATGTTCTAAAAGATTCTCATGCAGTTGATGTTTTAGTTCAAAGGCAATTATGAATTACTTCTCCCACACCATTTTTTGAATTTTTTTTTTCAGGTTGTGCTACTGTATACAGGATTATGTTGCATTGGTTAAAGATATAATATCTTCCTCAAATATTTTAAAATTTTAATACAACAATGTTCTGTTGGACCCTATGCTGTAAAACATAGGCTTTTAAAAAATCACCCAACAAATTAATTTTGGAATCACAGATCACTATTGCTATTGAACCTTTATTTGAAGAATCCAATGATCAGGTAACTGTTGAACTTTAAAAGACCCATTAACTGGTAGCTAGCCAGAGTTTGACTAGTACTTGTTAGAGAACCTTTAAGGATCCTGATGCCGTGATGTTTTAAACAAAGAAGGAAAATGAGCAGAAGATGACTTTGTTTTGCTTTCTTGAGAAGTTATTTCTACACAAAACTTTTGGACTTATAAAATAGTCCCCTGATAGTATTTCCTGCTCACACTGTTGTATATATATAATTTTTTAAAATAAACAACTGATACAGAAATCAAATATGCATATTATGTGTTCCATAAATATAAGACTTAAGATTCAAATGAAGGGGCTGTGGGTATTTTAAAAATATAACAACCAAGTAATATGGAAAAAGTTTGAGCTCCTTATAAATGAAGAATGTACTTTTATGGCATAGCCCAAATCTGATGACTAATACAAAAGAAAGATGTATTATAAAACCATGAGCACCAAAAGTCTTAAAATTATTAGGTTTAATTTCAAAGCTATTTCTAAAGCTACAAGGGAAAACAAATCAATAAAAATGTGTATTATCATTCAGAAATTCCAAAGCACCTAATTTGGTTTATGCTCCAGGATTTATTCTAAATCTTTCATTAAATTGTAAACTCATTCACTAAAATTTAGGTTTGATGTTTTAAAACCCTATTTTTTTTAGAAGATATGTACTTACACATTTTTCCCTATTCTAAGTCCTCCTTTTTTCATTTTTATAGATAAAAAGACACACAAAAGTTAACTGAGATGCCTTGTAAATCTTACTCCTCTCAGCAACTTTTAGTTTAACCCCATCAGTTTTACTGTAGTCCAGTAAATTAAGAGAACATAAGAGGGAAATCAAATAGTGTTGTTTTTAATTCCCCGGTTTAACACATATAAATAACTACTGTAAATGAAATCAAATAGGATATTTGAAGAAGACATCTACAGAGCTTCTTAGAAGTAAGTTATACAGACAAATGAAAACTTTCATTATAAAAATCCCAGTGAGTAGAACTGTCAAAGTCTCCACAGTGAACTACTTTAAATTTAATTTGGGCCAGTAGTCCAATTTAGGAAATATGGTATACTTAGCGTAGGGGAAGCCTGACAGTAGTCCATGATTTGCTAAAGAATTTCAACCTCAAATCCCACAGAAATTTTTCTTCAGGTCATAATAGCAACTAAAGCAACTCTGCACAGATTCCTCATGTTGCAATGATGTTAAAAGTAGCTGAAAATATCTTTAGCAAAGAAATGCAATGTATGGGACACGATCATGCAGGCACATTTTTAAAAAAAAGATGGTATGCAATACAGAGTACAAACTTACGCAGCACAAAAGCATGTCAAGGATAAAAGGACCAGTAAGTTAGAAGAAAAGTGCTTTAATTTACCCTTTCTTCCTCCTTTGAAGAAATTTGTACAGGCCGACGACGATTACTGCAACTGCAAGAACTACAAGAAACCAGGAAACAGATGATATATGACTCTGAAAACTAATTACCAAGATTCAAAATCTAGCAGAAGAAATAATGTTGGTTACATTTCAGTGGTCAGAAAATGTTATTTAAGCACTTCCACGTTTCTATTCCATCCAGACTCTTTGCTGTCTAAATCCAGCTCCCTGGACTCACTCACAGAGTCTTCAGTAAGTCACAGAAGAGTCCTTGCTTACTTTAGAAAATTATCAAAAGCACTTTTGAGAAACAAACTCATATTACTAATCATCTCAAGAAAATGTGTATTACTTACGCTTTCTTACTAAGTGGATATGCAAACTATAAAAGAATATAAATTCACCAACACAAGGTAGAATTAATTAATAGAATACATCATATAAAAGGTTAGGTTTTTATAAATTGAATTACTTAACCTCAAGCTGTAAAAGCTATAGAAACTGAAAAACCATTTAAAAAATCACACGCTTCTTCATAAGTAATATTTTAAGTGATGTCAAGATTTGGGATACTTACGTGCAGTAACAACAATCAGAGCAATGACCCATGCATCTGAGAAAACAAAAACAGTTTGAAGATGTTGAACATGTGAGTCTCTAGATAGCAGTTGTATTTTTATTTCAATCAGATCATCTAAACACTACAGCAAAAAAAGTTTTATCTACCTAGTTTTAGCATGACTATTAGTGCACCCAAGTCATTTTGATCCAGAACCTTTCTGACTAGTTTTCAAGTATAGGGTCCAACTTACGAAACTCTTATTAGGAACCTGTTTTCACTGTGCTCTGTAGCTACCTTTACTTTTTATGTGTGTGTGGTAAAATTTTGCTATTTTTTGACTCAAAATTTAGCAACAAAATATGTAAACATAAAAATCTACC